CCTAAACCCAAAACCCTAAAACCTCATCCCTGAGCCCGAAGCCCGAAGCCCCAAGAGCCAAAAGGAGGCAAAGCTGAGTTGCCCAAGCTTTCGAGCTACCTTGGACTACTTCGCTGGGGCTTTGGTTCTTCTCAACTCCTTCGTGATGCTGGTGGAGCCTCAGACAAACAGAAAGGGGTAGGGCTTTCGGAGGGTGGGGGGGGTGGGGGTGTAGCCTAGTTCCCTTGAGGAACCACGGGGCATTGCACCACGAATTCTAGAACATATCACACACACTACTTTGATGTATACACTCAACCCTAAGCCCCAAGCCCTAAACCCCTATATACACCCTAAACCCAAAACCCCTTAACCCCTGAACCCTAAATCATGTAGCCTTTTGCCAGGGTTTCGGACTTGATTTTCGAGCCTCAGACATGAACCCTAAACCCTAAATCCTGAACCCTAAAACCCTAAACCCTACCCTAAACCCTAAACCCTAAACCCTAAACCCTACCCTAAACCCTAAACCCTAAACCCTATGAACCCTATGAACCCTTGGTTCCGAAAGGGCCGTCATCCGCAATGATAGGTTTACCTAGGGCTCGAAGGACTCATAACCCCGGGAGCTTTTGCGCCCAAAAGTTTAGGGTTTAGGGGTTTAGGGTTCTGGGGTTCTAGGGTTCTAGGGGTTTAGGGTTTAGGGTTTAGGGGATGCTTTTGGGCGAGATTGTGCATTTTACAGGACTCCGAAAATGCAACATCCTTCAGTGTCCTGCGCAGAAATAGGAACAACCGCTGAATACTTGGGACACAGCCGTATACCTAGCAGATACATGGGTGCTCAGCCCAGACAGTATCAGAGCGTCACAATTGGCAAGACCTAGTGCGCCACTGTTGATGATAGGAATCCTGGACCCTAAACTATGGGATTATGGTGTATTCCTCGTCTTAGTAGCTGAGTAGAAAACCTTTAACCTTTTGGGGGCTTCTATGATCCTACTATAACTGAAAAGGTTAACCTTCTTTGGGCTAGGGTACTCAGCCCCTAAGTTGTTGTGGGTAATGCAGGATTTGTATCATCAGCCGTAGCATTTCCCAAGCCCTTAACATGCTTCGTTTGCCAGGGTTTCGGGTTTAGGGCTTTGCCAACCTTGCTTTCTGTCTGGCCTGCACGGCGTTTTGCTATCTGTAGCAGCACTAGGTTTGTAGGCATTCCCTCTTAAAGCCTACCTTAACCCCCGGCAACCTACATTTTTCAGGACTTATGAAAACCCTGAACCCGAAACCCTAAACCCTAAATACCGTGGCGTCTGTAAAGACATCATAACAAGGAGCTCTCAGAAGGATGGGTTTTCGGTGGTTAGGGTATACCGGACCCCCTAAACCCTACCTATAGTCTCCATCGTATAATGGTGTTTTGGGTAATGGCTTTTTGGGGTTACTTTAGAGGATCCTAAATGTATAAGTACGTGGTTAAGCCAACAAAGGAACTACAATGGACACGATCGGTAAACCCTAAACCCGAAACCCGAAACCCGAAACCCTAAGCCCTTGGCCCTAAGCCCTAAACCCTAAGCCCTAAACCCTAAGCCCTAAGCCCTAAACCCAAAGCCCTAAACCCTAAACCCTAATCCCTGAGCCCTAAACCCTGAACCCTAAACCGGTGACTGAGGAGTTTGAGTTGTCGGGGCGAGAGCTGGGACCAGCGTTCGGCCTCGAGAGCTATCAGATGACCCACGTGCTCGGGCTCTGCTTCAGAGTTTTCGGTCTAGGATTTATAGGGTTTATAGGGTTTTCAGGTTTTTTGGTTTTTTTTGGGTTTTTTGGGTTTTTAGGGTTGTTAGGGTTTAAGGAAAAGGGTTTAGGGGTTTAGGGTTTAGAGGTTTAGTGCTTGGGGTTTCAGGTTTTTCGGCTGAGGGATTTGGCTATAAGGTTTAGGGTTTGGGGTTTAGCTTCGGGTTGAAGGTTTCGGAGTTTGGGTTTAGGGACCAGGGTGAAAGGGATTGCGGTTTTCGATTTAGGTTTCGGGTGCAGGGTTGTTGGTTTGGGGTGTAGGGTTTTGGGTTAAAGATTTGGCCATTTTTCAGATGTTGGGTTCGGTGTCGTGGGCCTGGGATTAGACCTCAGGGTCGTGGTATATCCTTGGGAGGGTCCGGGAGAGTTCAGAAGTCCTAGTTTATGAGGGTCGCAAAAGTATCAGGACGCTTAGGGAAAGTGAGGGATTCGGGCTTATAGTTTAGGGTTTAGGGTTTAGGCTAGGGTTTAGGCTTTGCGGCGGGGTTGGAGGAGACTAGGTGTAACAGGAACTGGTGACTTTCATACAGAGGGCCCGTAGGATTTAGGGTCTCACAGAAAGAAACCAAAGAGGGAGCCGTAACCTTAATGGTCAGCGAGCTGTATGTAGGTACTGCATAATTCGAAAGCGCCTTTCAAAAGAAGTCGGAAAGACTTGTTAAATTATACCCTAACTATATTGGCCCCTCGCAGGTTTGGATTTCACAGGCTGTTTATGCACGAACCCAGAGCCATATTATCCACATGAATCCAAAAACAACAGAGTTCAAGCAGATGGCATATAAGATGCCGGTGAGGACCCCCCACTTTCCACAACTTCTGCAGACTCGCCCCAAAGCTTAACAAGATATGTGTTAAATTGAAGGGTCCCTCATCCGTTTAAATAGTTCAACGAGCATAATTATTCACATGGCTAGGTTCAGTGCTTTTTGAGTCTTTGGGCCACGATGCGCGATCCTTCGATACGTTACGGCAAACCAGTGTAAAGAACGATGCGCCTATGTAGGTCTTATTTCACAGCATGCAGGACACCCATTAGGGAGATCATATAGGGGCCTACATAGCTACCTATACTATCTTGGGGGTTCCTTAATATAACTATCGTAGAATATGCCCCAAAACCTGATTCTAATTATCAAGGCCCCTACATTATATGCATGGTACGGACCGAACTGGCGACATCACGTCAAGCCATGTGCCTTTCACTTACCTCAGACCTCAACCTTTAACACCCCCGAAAAGGGTCCCAGGCACCGTTATCGGGGATACTTTCTCAACTCATAATTGTAATCCTAAGATAGATCGAGGCCCTACGTTCTACTATAAATAAATAAATCAATAAATAAATAAACAAATAAATAAATAAATAAATAAATATAAATATATATATATATATATATGTATATAGGTGGTTTGGGCCCCTGGGGACCCTGAGGAAACGCGCATGCTGTTTTCTGTCATCGACGCGATGTTTGTCTTCGTCTTCGTGGTGGAATGGTCCATTCGCCTTTGGTTTGATCGCTGGCGTTTCGTCAGGCCAGACACGGTTTAGGGGTTTAGGGTTTAGGATGGCTTTAGTGCTGCTATGAGTCCGATACTGCATGGCAACGCTCCATCGGATGGCCAAAAGATGTGATCGTTTCGGTTCTAAGGGCGCTTCAGCATGGCTTTGGCATGTTTAGTTATCTTAGTTTCTTTTCGTAGGATCCCTGACCATTTCAGGTTATCCGAACCTATGTGCCGACATTAATTCTCAAGATCTTCGGTGCACCATTCTTAGGCCACTCATGCCCGTTTAGGATATCAGCCTAGGGTTTACACACCGTTAACGTTGAGCGAGAAGCACTAAAATCCTTCACCGATGGGTCTTAAGCAGAGTTCCACCTGCACAGCCCCTGACCGAAACTCATGTTTGGAGTTTAGGTATGTACCCCAAGAAGCAGGAACAGCATGTGAGGCAAACTCCGTATGCCAAGCATGGGATCCCATTTTTGTGCATATGGCTGGCTGGTCCCTTAGAACCCGGCGTCATAAGCAAAAGATGGCCAACTTCTCAAACCCAAACCCTACGTACCAAAACCCATAGTAACTTACTTTTTCTAAGGACTTATATAAAGACTTCATAATACGGAACCCTAAAACGGTAGGTTATTTGGTGTCCAGGCAAACCCTATGCCCTGAACCCAAACCCCAAGCTCCGTCTCACAAATGCCACTTTGCAGGGATGCCACGAACCTGCTCGACACCATCCTTGTCTTTGGGTCGCCTTGGGAACAGTTTTCTTTGCCTTCGTGTAGTACGTGCGTAAGCAAAACAAAAACTGGTATACTCTGAAGAACCCTAAGGGTCCAGGTACCCAAATAGTATATACTTTGTCC